TATCACACCTATATCACATGATTATCACACCTAGTATAATCCTAACCTATTTCGTAACCGTTTTACTAGATAATGATAATAATGAGTGTTTAAAAAATAATGATCGTGTTTAAAAGATTTGATGATATCATTTTCATTATTACCCTTTTAATTTTAAAATTTTTTGAATCTTTTTAAATTTTAATTTTAATTTTAAAAATCTTTTAATTTTATTTTTTATCACAATATGAGGTTATTGGGTTGTTCTTGTGTTCTCGTAAATTACAGGGGTTCTCGTTTGAATCCTTCCCTATATATATATATATATATATATATATATATATATATATATATATATTGCAGAAAAACCATCGGAAATGGAGATCATCTCGAAAGAAATCATCAAGCCTTCATCTCCAACCCCTCATCACCTCCGAACTTTCAAACTCTCATTACTGGACCAACTCACCTTACATACCTACGCTCCCATAATTCTCTTATACGAATCCAGAATCATCACCTCCACCTCCATTGATGTCTTCAAGAAATCTTTAGCCGAAACCCTAACTAAATACTACCCTTTTGCAGGAAGACTCAGAGACGATGGCATCACCGTCGATTGCAACGATGAAGGCGTCGTTCTCGTCCAAGCAAAACTCGTTGATCATAAACTCTCTGATTTCCTTCAAAATCCAAGCTATGAAACCCAAAGACTACTGTTTCCTGAAGGTTTCTTGTGGAAGGGGTCATGCATAGGTTACGCCTTTCTTGCAGCTCAAGTAACGTATTTCAGTGGTGGAGGAATGGCGGTGACGGTATCCTTGTCTCACAAGGTGGCGGACGCACCCTCGCTCGGGATTTTCCTTAGCGATTGGGCGGCTGTGGCCCGTGGCGAAGTGAGACCGCCTCCGTTGATTCTTGCTACATCCATCCCTTCGCTGGATCTTGCGTACACGATGCCGGAGATCGTAATTGAGATGAGTGAAGCTTGTGTCACGAAACGGTTTGTATTTGATGCAGGGATGATTTCGAGATTGAGACTATCGGTGATTGGGTTCGTTGAAAACCCGACGAAAATCGGGCTTGTGACTGCTTTGCTTTACAGATGTGCGATTGCTGCTTCAACGGCGAAAACAGGTGGTTTTAGAAACTCGACTTTGATTCAGCTAGTGAACATGCGGCAACGACTTGCGGCTCCATTGCCGGAAAATTCCGTCGGGAACTTCACTTGGTACTTCACTACGTCAAACCATCGTGAGAGCGAAACCAGTTTGGGAAATTTGGTGGTTCAGTTGAAGAAAGGGATCAAAGAATTACTGGATAATCGGGATAATCTTCGTTTGGAAAATTGGTTGACTAGTGTTCGGGAATCTGCATATAATGTTAAAGAGTTATTCGACAATATTGATGTTTACCGTTGCAGCCACGTCCGTGGAGGATCGTTTTACCAGATGGATTTCGGGTGGGGAAACCCAAAGTGGGCCACGATTGCGGACGTGTTGGTGAAGAACGCATTCGTCCTGTATGATACACCAGACGGAGATGGTGTTGAAGCAGTGGTGAGTCTTGAAGAAGAACACATGAGATTATTCCAAAGTAATGAAGAGCTCGCTCATTTTGCATCGTTCACCCGCTCCCGAATTTGATATCAGAAACAATATCCGTTGTCCCAACTGTTGTGTCTAACTTGCTTTTACTATAACAAAATTGACTTTATAGGACGTCAAATATATCTAAATGTCTCAATTAACTGTTTTATAGGCGGGACCAAACAATTATGCGTCATATTTAAAGCGGTTACAACATGATGTCCAAGCAGTTACAAGCTAAGTTTTTCATGTGGGTCCTATCGTACAACTGATTGGTTCTTAAATTTAAATCCTATAAAACAATTTATTATGACATTTAGATATATTTGACATCCTATAAAGCCGATTTTGCTATAAGAAGCATTTTCGTTGTGTTTCGGCTTTGTGATACACAAAATTTTGTAATGAAAGAAGTTGCAGACAACAAGATTACTTAAATTGTTTTGGGGCTCTATGTTGCTAGTATTATTGGTAATTAAGGTTACATGAACTGAATACTTTAGACCTTACTTAGATAGAGCTGACGGAGTCACCATCACCATCGCTGCTATCACCACTGCTGCTGCTGCTGCTGCTGCTCCCGCTCCCGCTTCCGCTGCTGCTTCCGCTACTATCACTCGAGCTCGAAGACCGTTCTTTTCTTTCTTCTGCATTCACCTGTGCTCGGAGGGCTTCTGCAGCATTTGGACCCTTATTCCCTTCGTCATCACTCACATCAACCTCTGCAATCTCGTCATCGGTTTCATTTTGATGTGGGATATTGATATCGATGCCGGTGAATGGTTGTCTTTCTGGTGCTGACTCGGTGTTATCAGCTCGACCAATGTCGATTTCATCATCATCATCATCATCGTTGAGTATGTCGAGCTGTTCATCCAGATCATCGTCGTCGTTTTTGGGATCTGGTGATGCATAGAATGAATTTGAAGGTGGGATAGATGGATTATCGACAACCTTCTCTTCTCTGGCTTTCCCATCTAGGAAAGATATACAATTGCTAAGATTGTGTTCAACTTAATTAATAACATGTACAGTAAAACTATCTTATTCTTGCACTAAATGTTCTTTCAAGCACCAAAAATTCATTCTTCCTAACAAAAATCTCAATTTGGATGACGATTTGAGTCTAATAACAAGGGAGGGACTCGTAACATGTATTCTGCTTCATATATCAAGATCCGGATACCCCATCTATCAACCGTCACTACAAAAGAGTCATCTTTATAGAACTCCAAGTATGTCAAAATGTCGTAATAGGTTGTTGTATAGGATTTAAGTTTATAGGAACAAACAATTATACGTCCTACGTAAAGGTGCTATAGTAAGTTGATAGGACGCTTTTGGGAGTCGTAACAAGTTTTTAGGACACTTTTGAAATAAAACGTCCTCTTAAGTCTTTTTAAATGCCATTATAAATGCATTTATATGACACTTCTCAAAAGTATCCTATAAAAAAGCTAATGGAACATATTTCAAAAGTGTCCTAAAAAACAGATGCCCAAATTAGTCCTAACATCTTATTGTAATACCTTTATATAAACGCACAATTGTTTGATCTTATATACATAGGTCCTATAAAGCAGCCTATAGGACATTGACATGTTCAGGTTCTATGAAGCCGGTTGTTTTGTAGTGCCTCAAAAAAGGTCTCCACCCATGCCCAACAGGAATTTTAAGCTACACTGTTAAGACTTGGTTGACTCACGGAGACTTTTGAATTCACTAAGACCCAACTTCTGCTAGTTCCCACAACCACATCTTGCATGTCTAGACAAATAATGGATATTACATTAGCATGGAACATACCGTAGCCTTTGAAGTTGCCGATTTCAATCCGTTCAACTTCGACCTGTAAAAGTGTAAATAAGTGGTTCATGTTATGTATCACCTCAAGTGTAAATAATAAACAAAGTCATTTTGGGGCAGTTTACCAGTAATGTTACCGTCTAACAACCTACTCAGACATGACTTGCATGACTCTAAAATACCAACTGTTACTTGTATATTAGGATCAAAACAAAAACGATAAACTCATCCCGAGTTATTAAAGACTTGCACAAGAAAACCCAGTATATCCCACCCGGAGGTGGGGTCCGGGGTGAAATGTACGCAAACCTGACATCTGCCTCAAAGAGTAGAGTTGTTGTTTATGTGAAGACCCCCGGCTTGTACAAAATGTGCGAAAAGAAAGAATAAAACTTGCACCAAGAAGAGAATAATAAATTGCCAATGCAAAGATACATGTTTATTAAGCTCCCTCCATCCCTCTTCCCCAACGAGTTTGATTAGCTAGGTCACGCAAACTCCAAACCAAACCAAACAAGCCTAGTATATTCCACCCAGAGGTGGGGTCAAGGAGTAACTAGTAAGAATGTAAGATGTACGTAGACATGACCTCTACCCTAAAGAGTAGAACAATTGTTTTCTTGACGACCTCCAGCTAGTAAAAAGTGTGAAAGGAGAAGAACACATATGATAAAAAACAAAAGCTAGATAAGAGTAATAAACAATAGCAATAAAACTAGAAAGAGAGAAAGACAAATAGGCTAAATTTTGATAAACTAGATATGAGTAAGAAAACCCTGGTTTTAGTTATATTTGTTATTTTAGATCAGAGGAAGTTTCAACTTTGCAAATAACTTACTGATGGAGGAAGTAAGCTCTTATTTGAAGACTGAAGTTTAGATCCTTTCCCAAGTGGTGGCGAACTAGACTCAGGTGCCGTCCCAGGTAAAGTGGCTGCAGCCACGGCTGCAGACTCACCAGGTTGCCGAACATGCCTCAAACGCTTCACCGATCTATGCAGTCGCTCCAACCTAAAACTCGATCCATCAAAGAACAAAACTGCATCATTATCTTTGTAATCCTCACTACTGCCTTCAAAACTCACTTTGGGTTTCCCTGGTTGGTTATTCTGAAATTCGACAGCCACCTTATTATCCTTGGTCTTATGCAATTTCCCAGGTTGGTTCTTATCGATAGATGCAGGCTTAAATTCATCTGAAATATCCAAATGCAATACTCATTAACCTTCATCAAACATTCTCTTTTCAATTACAGAGAAACAAAATATTTGATCTTGATATCAACCCAATAGTCCCAAATTAACTGAGCTAACATTCGTCTAAAACAAATTAAGCAATGATTTCACACTTTACACACAATTTACATCCTAAATTCATAGAATGTTAATAGAATCTCAATAAAAAAAATTATGGCTTTTTTCATGATGCAATTCTCAAAACCATAACGTCTGAGAGAACCGAATATGAGGCATCCAAAAATTTCAGAAAAGATACATCGCGATTCTAAGAAAACTATTAGAATGATCCTACAAACATATTTACTGCACATATCCACGAATCTGCATAAGATAAAAGCATATACCTACACACACTTACAGCGAAGAGTACAGAATTTGGAAGAAGGATTGTCTTGAAAAGAGGAACCTAGGGATAGGTCAAACCATCGATCGACCGGCGGAGCTGTTAATGGTTCATCTCTTTTGTTGCTATTTGCCATTAATTGAATATATTCAGCCAATTACACTGTTAAATTGAAGTCGTATGATCCCAATACTGGAGCCCTAGAAAATCAATGGGGGACTGAAAACCGGTGGATCGGCGTTTGAATCACTATTTGTTGTTCGTTTATGGCTTAATTGCAACAATCAACCCTTTGGTTTTCACAAACTTGCAGAAAACTCCATGTTTGGTTTTTTATTTACACTTACACCCTTGTTTCAAATATTATACCGTAGAGAAGACCTTAATTAAGGGGTCGTTTACCCTATGCTTACCAGTAAATAGGCATGGCAACGGGGAGGGGATGTGGCGGGTTTTGTAAACCCCGGCCCCGGTTTGTAGTAACGTCCCCCGGCCTCGGTCCCCGGTGGATACGGGGATTATTATCCCGTCTCCGGTCAAATCTCTAGCAATACCCGGTCAATCCCCGGTCAAACCCCATAAATAGTATCTTTTAGTTCGATTATACCGGGGATCCCGGCCCCGTTCCTGTCCCCGGTTTGAGTCTACCGGGGATCCCTGGTCCCGGGACCCGTTTTAGCGGGGAATCCCTGTCCCCGTTCGGGTAGGGTGAACCGGGTTCCCCACCAGGTTGGGGTAAATCACCATCCCTACCAGTAAGACAAATTATTCTCGTTCCACCAAGACAAATTATTCTCATTTATATTTAATTTTTTATGAGGATAAAGACAAAAAGAAGATGGTAAAAAGACGGAAATAACTGCTAACTTAATAGGGTTAAAGGAATCTTTTATATTCCATTACAGTGAGGGACTTTGAGTGTGCATTTTTGCATACCACAGGGACCGGGAGTGTAATAAACGTGTTTTAGAGACCTTAAACAAATCGCATACCACAGGGACCAGGAATGTAACTTACTCTTAAATTTAGGAGGGTCCATTTTGACAGGCCACAAGAATTCGATCTTTTGGCGCAGTCTCTGTTCTCAAGTTATAATTTTCCCCCAAATTATATGAATTTAACCAGCGAAACCCTAGCCAATCCTTAGTACATGTAATTGATCATGGCGATGCAAATCTGTTCAACGAATTCCTCAATCCCGTCAATCCATGCTTCCTGCATTAATCGGAATCCTATAAAGCTTCATCACTTTCATCCGTTACTTGGATTGTCAACGCGAATTTCGCGTATGCAAATTCATCGTAGTATCAGAAAGTACTCGATTCGGTGCTCAGCAGAAGAAAAGAAGCAGATCAATTTGAGAACTTGTAAGCTATGTAAAACCCAGTTCGATCCTTCTCTCAACCATCCCCAAGCCTGTCGTTTCCACACTGCGCATTTTGGCGGTAATCGATTTGTTTTTCGAAACGATTAGAATTGAATTCTGAAAAGAATAGCTTTTATGGTTTGGATATGTCTACGTATAACTATGTATACGTAATCTGCATTCACCTGTTTCAAATATTTTACATTTGGAAGTTGGAACTGTTCTTTTCCAAATTTAAAAAACTAATATGAATTCCAAACTTTTGTGGAAGATTATGAATTCAAAACTTTTGGGAGCATTGTAATTATACTAGAAGTGGAAAACAGGAAGGTTTTAGGGTGTTGGATGTTGGTGATTTTAGTGAAATCATCCTTCATTTTGTGTAATTGGGTTCACAAGATGATATGAGATTGTTAGTTAAACTACTGACATGGGGTACAAGGTGTAGAGTTGTACACTCATGTAAGCTAACTAGAACCGGAATGGCTAGATGACGACATATGACGGTGTTCAAGGGGGTAGCACCCACTTGTGGGGTCCTAGAGGTGTCCTAAGTGTAATTCAGAAGCTTCCGACTTGTCTTCGGGAGCTTTTGATTTTAAAGGGCTCCGGACTCTCTGAAGAAGCTTTTGACTCCAAAGTACTATTGAGTTGTCTTTTGATCCCTGTAAGCAGTTACTTTGTAACTGTCGTGCGGTTAACTGTCCACTAATTATTTTCAGCAACCATTTCCATAGAGAGTTATTCTCGTATTTAATTGAGAAATTGATACCCAAACTATGTGCATCTGCGCGTTCATGATGTGTTGTTACAAAAAGGTTTAAATTTGTTATTGTTGGTGCCATGGATTGTTAATACTGTCTTGACTCTATAGGAGAAACTAAGAGGAAGTTCGAGAGTGTGTATAGCGGAGGCACCATGAATACGTCTGAATCCGGTAAAGTGTTCCAGTATTGGCATTGCTGCGGATCCGAAGATCCCTTTGACCCTGGCTGCACCGCTTCTCCTCATTCGTCCTATGATGATTGATGCATTTTCCCACACATTGAAAGGTTCATCTCGACCCAAATTTCTTTAGTTTAGTCTTTTTTGTAATAGAAATTCTTGCATCCCTAAATCAAATACTGTCTTCTTTGTTCCTGAAATGTGCAGTAGTACGGTCCTCTATTGTTCTCATGTATACATACATTGCAGTCTTCAGTGCTTCAAATTTAGGAAAAGGCTATGGTCTTATTGTGTTCTTATACACACTCATTTAATTTGCATACTCATGGCATCTGTCTGGGACTTGCATCATCCATAAACTTGTTCTTAGGGGCCTTTTACCAAACACTTACCGGGTGTCGCTTACCTTTCGGGTGAACATGACAAGGACCTAGAATCTTAACCTGTAAGAGGCATAGCAGGGGCTAAGACTCTTACCCGGTAAGTGAGGGAGAAGATTCTTACCCGGGAAATGTTTACCGGGTAAAAGTTGTTTACCAACAATCCATTTTGATGGCCGATAATGTTATCCTAATGTTAGTGAGGGTGGCGCTCTTGCGGGCAAGCGCTTACCCGATAAATGTTTGGTAAATGTCCCCTTAGACTTCTTACCAAACCAAACAAAACCAAATGAGCCAATATATCTCACCTGGAAGTAGGGTCTGGGGAGGGGGACTGAGATGTATGCAATGTGTTATTCGAATTTGGAGAGAAAAGAGAGGAAAATAAAATAATTTTTTCATTTGTGCTCTCAAGAAAGGAGAGGGAAACGAGAAGAAAGATGTCATTTTTATAAATATACCCTTTAAAAATATATCTTTTAAAATGAAAGATTGTGTAGTTTTATAATTTTAATTTAATTCCTTCCCTTTCTAGGTTTGGGAGGAAACTTATCATCGTTATTATCCTTCCGTTTCCTTTCCTTTTTCTCTTAAAAAAGTTTCGACAAAACGAGTTTGTTTTTTACTCTCCTCCCCTTTCTGTCGCTTCTCTTTCATCCGTAATAAATGTTTCAAGAACACAACATCAACCTCGACCCTCAAGAGTAGAACAGTTGTAGAAAGTTGCTCTTCTTGGTGCCAAATAAGAATATTTCACGGAAAAGATTTATATTTAGTTCTTGACTTCTTTCATATTTGCAACTAGATAATTTTTGGAGTACACATGGGCTATATGAACCGTTTTTATTCAATATATGGACATACTGTGGAGTTTTTTCTTCTCTTCTCGAAAGCCCTTTTGGTATATAATCTGATGGTTCTACGTATTCTACAAGATTGCAACGGTGTAAGGTGAGAGGATTCTTGTGGTATGCTAGTGTGTTTTTTAAATGTACGAACGAGAGGACCATTTTCTTCATATATCAAAAGAGACGCCATGAAAGTTAAAACCCATTAATGAAGTGTCAAAGATGAACATATCACAAGATGTGACCCATTGGTTTGAGCTTGGCTTCAAAGGTCAAAAGTACTAGGAGGTCTCAGGTTCAAATCCAAGGAGGAATAAAAATCCCCTTTGTAGCCACGGAAGTTCAAATACAGTGACTTCGCACTATCTACAAATTTTGTGAAATGGGGGCGTGAACATGTAATGTTTGAGACCGATTCCCAAGTGGTACGAATCGAGGGAAGAGGATAACATTGAACTCACAATCCTCATATAACATTGTCGAAAGCTTTTACAGTCAAAACCATCGTTTAAGGTCGAATTCAATATGAGAGATAAGAAACATTTTTGCTTATATTTTGACAAGACGATCTCTCTTTTATGCCTTCCTAGTAGTCAACTACGGGTGACAACCTCTTCTAATTGACTAGTTGAATATCCAAACTTTATTTGTATTTTCATCCATCATTAATGAAAGCTTTTATTTCAAAAGAAAATCAATTTCAAGAGTTTCAAGTGTTGTCTTCGGTTTGGCTAGTTAAAATTCTAATCTTTATTTTTATTTCCGTTAATCTATACTATATTATAAAGCATTTGGCTAAAACTCTTAAAAACTCTTAAACTCTTAAAACTCTTAAACCCGTTCATCCCTAAACAATTTCATCCATATACGATTTCATCTCATAACTGAATTCGTGTAACTAACTGCAGATAAATACAATCAAATACAGGATAAACATCTCATTTTAAATATAAAAAA